CGTCAATTGAGCAGAAGATTCTTTAAAACGCGAGTCTGGAACCAAGGTTCACCATGCTAATATCCAGGCTTCCAAGGTTTGTGTTATTTGCTTCTTACGCTTTACTTTTCTCTCAAATTCATACCACTTCATTGCATTTCCATTTCCACTTGTCCTGCAGGCTGTTGCTGATATTATCCGTACCACGTTGGGGCCGAGATCTATGTTGAAGATGTTACTTGACGCTAGTGGAGGTGTTTCTATTCTTTCCCTTTCTTTCGAGAAATCAGAACTTTATAGTCAGATGAAAAAATGAAACTATTTTGATATTGCCGTCACAAGTTTATAATATTCTGTCACTTTTTAACTGTTTCAAGTAGCGTCAACACGGTTTTGTTAATTTTGTTTTCTGTACTTCGAGTCAGTTTCTGACTACTCTCTCGGGATTCAACAGGGATCGTTGTCACCAATGATGGAAATTCTATTCTCCGGGAATTGGATATTGCACATCCAGCGGCAAAAGCATGTTTTCTATCAATGTTCTTTTTCTCTATTTCTAACTATTTTCCTTTTGTATTCTTCTTTGTACCTGTTATTTCCCTCCTTTTTCACTTTGCTGTTTAATGCTTTATCGATATGGCATGATATGACTTTTTGCTGCTGGCAGTCGATGATTGAACTTAGCCGGACACAAGATGAGGAAGTAGGAGATGGAACTACATCAGTTATTGTGCTTGGTATGTGTTGGACCAGTGTATAATGCTTTATTTTTGTAACAGAGCATCAACAATTAACCGTTGCCCTGAATTGGTTTCAAATTTGTTTTCTTGTATGAGGGATTATTTTGGAATGTCGGGTGGGAAGCTTTTCTTTATCTTTTTTCTTTTTAAATTTTTTAAAACTTTACATTAGTGATCAAGTTGGTCCATTGAGTTGATTCTCTCTCTCACTTTAGTTCTTTTCTAAATTTTAATTCTTAATTCTCAACATTGAAGCTGGTGAGATGCTCCATGTTGCTGAGGCCTTCATTGAGAAAAATTATCACCCAACAGTCATTTGCCGAGGTACTTTACTTTTTCCAGCCAGCAGTTTCATCTTGGATTTGTTCATAATGTGATCCTTACGAACTTAAATGTGCTTTGTTATAGCCTACAATAAAGCTCTGGAAGATGCACTTGCTGTGCTTGATAAAATAGCAGTGGACATCGATGTGAAGGATCGTAAGTTGCTTGAACGTCCTTACCTTTGAGCTGTTGAGTGAAATGGCTACCACATAATCATGTCTACTAACTTAGACATCAGATGCTGTAGTTACTCAATATCAAAACCAGATAAAAGATTGTTGCTTCAATATATTTCCTCTAGAACAATTACTGTTCTTTCTTCATCAAAGCTAATGTAATATTAATTGGAAAAATCTCTACCGTACTAATGAGTATCATGTGGCAGGCACTGCTATGTTGGGGCTGGTTAAAAGCTGCATAGGCACCAAGTTCACAAGTCAATTTGGAGATTTGATAGCTGTAAGAATCTTAACTCATCTACCTTATTGACATTGTTTTGCAATTACATTTGTTTATATATTTTCTACCTTATATGTGACTCATGATTAGAAGTCTGGATATGCTTATAGGCCTCTGTGGATTAGTTGCAGTAGAAAACTTAAAATATTGATTGTTTGGTTGTTCCCTGATCTTCTTGTTCCATAAGGATACTAGATCTTTAGATTCAATGTTAGGATTTTTAGAAGGTAGTTTCAGAAGACAACTTGATTCATTGATTGTTTGGTCGTTCCTTGATGTACTTATTCTATAAGGATGCCCGATCTTTAGATTTAATGTTAAAAAATTTGTTGGGGGGATTTTTCTAGACTTGTTGCTTGATTTATTTTCATTTCGTGTTATATATATATATAGGCTAAAGGAAGTTAGAATCTTATTTGTAGATAGTATAAGTTTTCTAGTGCATTTTAAACTTAGTTATTTCAAGGGTTTCCTTTCTAATGGTATTGAAGATTAAAGAACGTTTAGGCTGTTACTCATAGATAGTGTATAGGCTACAGGCAGTTAGAATCTTATTTATAGAATGTTTAGGCTGGTTGAGTTCATTCACCCACATAAGCTTACAATTATAACTAGTGGAATGCTGAGGTGTTGTATATTCAGCTATGTCATTGATCAACTTCCAGGATTTAGCAATTGATGCCACTGCAATTGTCGGTGTTGATCTTGGCCAAGGCTTACGTGAAGTAGACATCAAGAAGTACATAAAGGTTGAGAAAGTTCCAGGTGGTCAGTTAGAAGATTCAAGGGTTCTTAAAGGAGTGATGTTTAACAAGGATGTCATTGCCCCCGGAAAAATGAGAAGAAAGATTGTCGATCCACGTATTATTCTTCTCGACTGCCCCCTAGAGTACAAAAAAGGTGAAAACCAGACAAATGCCGAGTTGGTCAAAGAAGAAGATTGGGGAGTTCTTCTGAAAATGGAAGAAGAATACATTGAGAATATCTGTGCACAAATAATCAAATTCAAACCTGACCTGGTTATCACCGAGAAGGGCCTCAGTGATTTGGCTTGTCATTACCTGAGCAAAGCTGGTATCAGTGCAATTAGAAGGTTGAGGAAGACAGACAATAACAGAATAGCCAAGGCATGTGGTGCTGTAATTGTGAATAGACCTGATGAGTTGCAGGAATCAGATGTTGGCACTGGTGCTGGATTATTTGAAGTTAAGAAGATAGGGGATGAATTTTTTGCATTTATAGTGGATTGCAAGGACCCAAAAGCTTGTACTGTGCTCCTAAGAGGTGCTAGTAAAGATCTTTTGAATGAAGTGGAAAGAAATTTGCAGGTAACTTAATGATATGATATTGGGGAGGATCTTTTTCATGTTTTTCCCCATACTGAGCATGTCTGTTATTTTTTCGATTCAGGATGCCATGTCTGTAGCAAGGAACATAATAAAAAATCCAAAACTTGTTCCTGGAGGTGGTGCTACTGAGTTGACTGTATCTGCTACGCTGAAGCAAAAGAGTTCTTCGGTTGAAGGCATAGAAAAGGTAATCGTAAATTCTTTTGTCTTTTCATTTATTTTTTTGAAATGTGGAATACTCATAATGTTCATTCTTGGTATGGATAATATTGATTATTACCCTTATAATAGAAAACTGTCATTGATTGTTCGCTGTGGATTAATTTGGACCCACCCTCATACCAAGTGGGCTCATACTTATGCCAAATTTAGGGAGTCATTGTTCTTCACATGATTTATGGCATGCCCACCACAAGATTTTCTTGGTTAACTGCGATCTTGTTTGCTGCTGCCTTACGTTTTGTGGCTAAATTGAAAATTTTCCAATTATGTGATTGAAACAGTGGCCTTATGAAGCTGCTGCCATAGCTTTTGAAGCCATTCCCCGAACTTTGGCTCAGAATTGTGGGGTGAATGTGATAAGAACCATGACGGCATTGCAGGGAAAGGTATTGAACTTTGAGTAAGATGCGATATGTTAGGAGCCTGGAGGCTTCATTTCTGAGAAGAATTGTGTTGATTTTTCCTATTTCCTGCCACTTTTATAGCACGCCAATGGTGAAAACGCATGGACAGGCATAGATGGAAACACTGGTGAAATCACCGACATGAAAGAGCGCAAGGTATGATTTTTTCCCCCTAGCCTATAATTTTCCCTTCCCCTAGGGTATAGCTTTTGTAATGTTATATAATCAAACCTCTCGATCGTCCTTTGTCCAAAAATGGAAACCAATTCACGAGGTTTGAAAATTGTAAACATAGTTAGTTGTCATTTCAACTTCTTTGGATGGAAATCTATGCCTCATTTTTTTAGAGATAGATGACCCGAACGCTGCAATTAATGAGTTTGAGAAGTGTAACAATATCTTTGCTTGAGTTTAATAATAAATCCAGAAGATAAGTAATTCTAAAATAGTTAGATTTTTCTCAAATATCTGTGCTGTTCTGATGATTACAGTTTTTGAATTGTTCTTCACTAGGACTGAGCTACTTCTACGCTTAATCATGTTGCTTTATTCAGATTTGGGATGTGTATAATGTAAAGTCGCAAACTTTTAAGACGGCTATAGAAGCTTCCTGCATGCTGCTGAGAATTGACGACATTGTTAGTGGTATTAAGAAGAAACAGGCTCCGGGCACAGGTCCATCAAAGCCACAAATTGAGACGGAGGCCGATGCCGATAATGAGCAAATGATCCCAGAGTAGATTTTTGGTTCAAGTGCAGTTTAACCTGAAGAGTTGTGCCATGTATTTTGAGGTCAGTTTTCTTCGCTCTCAATTGTGTTATCGAGCTAGCTAGGGCGTTTGTATGGATTCGATTCTTCAGAACTTAAAAGGGATTCCCATGTGTTCTCTTAGGATGGGACTTCGAAATATGGTTAGCGGATGAACACAATTTTGTTACCACCGTTTTGTTTTCAGGTTAATGTTTGAGAGTAGTGATAAATTTTCAATTTATACATGTGCTGATGATTCCTGAGATATCCCAACTTTTATTAATCTACTAATGAGAGTACTTGCATGCATGTTGATATCACTCCTAAAATCCATTCTCCATCTTACTTATAAGACGATGAGTCGAATTTGATCACGTTTATAGAGTGTCATATTGATAATATTTATAGCCATAACTCGTGATTACCCGTGTGTCGAATTTGGCATCATGTAGAGCAGCTTCCTTCTGTGTTTAATATTGTTTTTTCTTTCAATAGAACATAGGCTAAAAGAAAACTATTGATTAGGGACCAAAATTTTCAAAACTTCCAGTTAAGTCATATACCTCATGTATGTGAGAATATTACATATTTAGACGTGTAAATGATATTTTGATCTGCGAAGTTGATCTCTTGCTAATTTTATTGTATTTCTTATTAAAATAAATCATTATGTTAAGCATAAAGTTAAAACTCCGACTCAAAGACACTGATTAAACACCCTAATTTAAAGTTTAAGAACTTAACCACCCTAATTTAACATTGAACAGATCTGTAATAGCAAATATGGATCCCAACTTCAACCAAAACACTATTAAGGGCAGAGTCGAATTACACACTCACAAAGTTGTTAAATATAACAAAAGGAAAAAGGAAGCAGTAATAACAATTGCTTGCTTGCAAGAATCAGGTGTAGCAGAACAAGACACTTCACACGTAACTGTCTATTAGTGACTTCCTCATTTCATCAACAATGGAGCTTGGTTGAGCCTCCCTCAATTTGAAAACGCTCTCGATCACCGATAACTCGGTTGCAGTCGTGTCTGAACCACAAAATGCAGTCCAGTCATTTGCTATCAATCCAGCAGCAATCACTTCACTTCCACGATTCACTGTTCCAGCAACTAAAGGGACCTGAAGAAGGGTTGATAGCTCATCCAAATCTTCAATGGACGTATGTGGATGAACCTGTTGAGTATTTGCACAAGTCCAACTTTCAGAGGATTTTTATTCATATGAAGTTGAAGGAAAGTTCAATATGGAGACTACACTTGGTTAAAAAGGAGCAAGGAAGGTGAACATTACCAAGCCACCCCTATTCGTGAAGCTACAGTAGCTTCCCACGAGAACGTTGCCCGCTACCGTCTGCCTAAAGACCTCTACTCCAAGAACATCAGCAATGAGCTCTTCAGTTTCCTGATCAATGAGATAATAACATATTTCTTTTAGTAGACAAAGAGGAATGGATGAGAGAAATAAAGCAGTCTTGCGTTCCATAAGTATATTTGCAAGAAATCAATTTTTTTAGAACACTCCAATCCAATCAACGAGTCCATATTCTACACCATGTCCTGTATAACATATTTCTTTTAGTAGACAGAGGAATGGATGAGAGAAATAAAGCAGTCTTGCGTTCCATAAGTATATTTGCAAGAAATCAATTTTTTTAGAACACTCCAATCCAATCAACGAGTCCATATTCTACACCATGTCCTGTATATATGAGGAAATGCGCTCAACCATTGAGACTCCATTCATAAAAGATTACGGACACTGCTCGAAGAAGTCATTGCTTCCTTGGCGGGTACGAGTTATTTCCTTGAACATTTTCTAGGAACTGGGATATTACATAGATTTGAAATTTCCAAATTGAAATGGGAGAACAAGATTGCAAGCTAAACAATCCGATGGTGTTGTAGAAAGTGCCACTAGAAGCACGACGTGAAGCGGGAAGGACAAGTATAAATACCCGGTCGAGATCAGTATGTGTGAGAGCAACATGATCATTACAAGAAATTGTATTCCCCAGAGCAGACAGTCTCTCTTGTATACGTTGGACAACAACTTGGTCAGGTAGGCTGTTTCTCAAATGCTGAAGTTCTTCAAAAACACAAAGAATTGGAACATAGTGTCAGTTATGTAATTTGGCAATACACATCGTTACCTATTAACATAAATTAAAGAACATCAAGAAGATTTTGGATCAAACTTAATTTCATGATGCGTCCTCACTTAGATGTATAGACACAAATTTAATAATGCTAGTGCCGACAGTTTCAGGCATCACGTGCAAGACAATGAATTCATTATTGCATAATGATGTAGTCTCTGAAATCATAAACTTATAGATAATTATTCGAATCCTTACTGCACACAAAATTATTATTATTTTTAAATAGAAAACAGTAACATTTTATTGACGAGATGAATTATAAAAAGGAGAATATCCTATCCAATGAATTGCAAAAAGAATAAAAGAATAAAATAAACTTCTCTGATTTGGTAGGTAACAACTAACATTACATAAGAAATACTCATAACGCTTCATCAACAGCACAAAATAGAACTTCCAACTCGACATACAGAATTTAATAATTCGAGCTCACAAAGCAATCATAAATGAAAATAACCTGAGTCTCTTGTTGATCAAGGTGGTGACCATTTACAATTTTATCATGTAAATGGCAAGAGTTGGATATCATTAGTATAAAAAATAGAACAAACGACCATTTGAACAGAAATTTAACAGGAAGGCATATTGTTTTTATTTACATTAGCTTCAGTTCAAAACTCTCTCACTTGATAAAGAGATATACAAATATATTCAAAGAGATGTAGTACTGCAGGCATACACCCCAACTATGAAACTAAAGATGTAATGTAACAAGAAGATTGAAAAGAAGCTTGCCTTGGTCAGTAGTGGTGTGTGGTACAAGAAGCCCATTTTTGTTTCCTGCAGTAAGAAATATGAAAAAGAAATACAATGTTATGGAAACATGACCATAAGTTGTTTGGGCGTCACATCATTAATGGGTACTCATCATACTTTGAAGGTGCAGAAAATAATGAAACAAAAAGAACAAAAGTTTTACAAACCAGCACATAGACGACCAATAATGCGCGTGCCATCGATGGATGTTTTAACGACTGGAATGACACCACCTAATTCAGATTCAAAGGCACTAAAACATGGAAAATATTCATGAGAAATTGCTTTCAGTTCAAAACAAGGTCAGGAAACAGGAAAGGGAAATAAAGAACCTGTAGAAGTTCTCAGAGCCACCAATTGCAACCAAGCAATAAGCATTTGTGAGCTTGGAGAAAACCCCAATTTCACATGAGTTCTCAAACATAAGCCCTAAAGAATCAAAGCATGTGAGACATATTGTAGTTGACACAAACCCAAAGAATATCCTTAAGAAACATATATAACAAAAGTAAAATGAAGGAACACAAAAATGGAGGGAAAGGCTTGGTGAGATGAGACTTACTGGTCGCCATGGTAGCACAAGATAACCTTCAATTAACAACTACCTTCCTCGACGATAAACTCAAAATCCCTTGCAACCCCTGCAGAGTAAAAGAAAGTTATATGTACCTCCCTGAATTTTTTATGAGAAAAGAAAAACAAGAAATTACGAATCAGTTTGCAGTTCGAAATCTTGTATTCTTTGTATGCCAAATAATTATGCCGTTCTTTTTTAAGAAATGATTGATAACAACACCAACAAGTTGTTCATTGCCAGCCTACAACCTCTGTTCATCTTTTAAACCCATTATTTTTTCTTTATTTATTGGATTCGGATAAGAATGATACATCTTTTGTTCTTACTTATCGACTCAATCTGTTCTTCATTTTTCTAATAAGAGATGGATACATTTCTAGTTTTATGTTTTCATTTACATAAGTTGAACAATTGTTGAAGAACTCAACAAGAAAAAGAACATACTCTTGAAGTTCTTCTCCATGGGTGAAAGAGAATAAACCAACATAACAAACGAACAAAACAAATAAAAAATAAGACCTAGGGGATCCGAAAATGAGCGGCAGCGGCAGGATCCTACGAATGGCGCGGATTAGGAGCTGAACCACCGTGTTTCTGAGAAAATAAAACAGAGATAAGTAACTCCGATTGCTAGGAAAGGCTAGATAATGGGAGAGGGATTGCAGCGTGCGGCGGCAGCCGCTGAGACGGCGTCCGGGGTGGGGTGGGGTGGGGGTGCAGCGACTGGTAATGGGAGGGAGGGATCTGAACGTGAAATAGGGTTTAGAGAAAAAGGAAGCTTTGAATGATGATTGCTGCGTACGTAAGATGGGAAAAAGGAAATATTTTGTTTCAATTATTCTCTTAAATTAAATAATAATAATAAAAAATATATATATTTAACTCAATTTTAAATGAAAATTACTGGAAAATATAAGAGTAGCACAAGTCTTGAGTATTTTAAGAAATACTTAGTAAGTGACTCCACTATTCACGTTACGGAATGGAAACATGCAATATGAATGAGACCTATCGTTAAAAATCTTCTCTTAGGCAGCTTTCTAATCTCGGTAATTGGATATATATTTACTACTCTACACATGACCCACACGTGCGAGCATAGACCCACCCGGTTCGCACACCTCCTAGGCATCTTGCTGGTCGAGCTAGCATCTCCGGTACTATTGTTGGACACCCAAAAGGAATAACGATCATTTTCCTTTTCATAACGTATGTGTTCATACTCATCATAAGGGGAAGTATCCCGATGCAGATAAACATACATTTATGCATGAGGTCCCAACATTTTTCATGGTAAATAAATCAGGCAAGATAACCCCTTTTCAATTTCATTTCATTCATAGCATAACCTTTAACATCATAAATTTCCTTATCTCAAATATTTTATCGCATACCAAGACATTTCATAACATATTATAATTCATCGAGGTGTAATACGACATTCATTCATATTTTAATGTTACTTGGCATACCTAAGCACACCATATCACAAACCATATCGTATCATTGAAACATATCATATCATTATACATAACAAACGTATCAAACATATGACACGTACAGTGCCACTGGGCACGTGTCACCATACATAAGACAACTCTTCCAACCATACTGATAGTAGAGTCATTTATTTGGTTGGTCTACTCCGAAGCTACTATGACCTCGATTTTAAGGTTGTTCTCTCAAATTTAATTCTACAAAAAGAGTCCTACAATCCTAAATTAGAATTCTAGTATGTTAATTGGTTCATCTAATTTTGCATAAAATAATTTAACTTAATTTTAAATAATTTAAATAGCCAAACCTACTTTTGTATAAAATAATTTAGATTGACTTCAAATAATTTAAACTAGTTAGAAGGTAGTCATACTAACCTTAAACGCTTCCGAAGAGTTGAAACTAGTAAAAAAAGATCCGAGCATAGCATACTCAAGCCGAGCCAAAATGTTGGCCGGGAAAAAATGTATTCTCCGACTGGATTCGAATGCCAAAACTCAAGCAGGGAAACTTGGCATACAATCATTTTACTCTAATAGTAGTCAACAAACACTTTCTCAGACGCTCCTCAAGTTCTTTGTCCATCTTAGAGTATATTAGGATATCGTTGATAAAAACTATTACAAATATATCTAAAACTCCTTGAATACTCTATTCATTTGGGTATTGAAGACTGTCAATGTGTTTGTTAACCCAAATAACATCACGTTGAACTTGTATTGTGCGTACCTCATTCTAAATGTCGTTTTGGGAATGTTTTTCTTTTCAATCCTATGATTTCTTGATTGTATATGAATCTTAGAGAATATTGTTAAATAAGTAATCAATTTGTTGAAGTGGATACTTTATTTCTCGCTCGTGATAATATATGCATATATACATTGACTCATTTTTCTTCTTTACAAATAGTATTAGTACTCCTTGTGATGGAACACTCAAACGTATGAAACCCTTGTTTGACACGAGTCTTGAAAATCAAGATTATCCCCAACTCAAACTCAATATTAAATTCATCCTCACATGTTGGGGGGTAACCCTATGAGGTCATCTGGGAACACATTAACGAACGAATTTCCTAACTACCGACAATGAGGTTATACCAGCCTCAATACATCATGTGTTAGTCATTCTAGCCAATATACCCCAAACGTCTTAGTGGATCCACTTTGTTGCCTTCAATGCTGAACATAATCTCCGTGTGAAAACAATCTATACTAGTGTAGTTTTCAATTGATCAATCCACGCTCAAGATGACATCAAAATCACTCATCTCCAACACAACCAACGTCACATCTATCACGTGATTTAACACTAACACCTATCAAGCTTTCACCCACTCGCGAGCCCACATGCTAAGCTACACAAAACAATCATAATAATGTTTGTAGTCCATAAAGTTTGAAAAAAGTATCCTTAAAGATAAGAATGACAACATTTGCAAGTTGCCAAATTCAATTACAAGAAACAAGATAGAGAGACCAAAGACAGTGACATGGAGAGGGAGAGCCAAACAGAAACAAGGAATTGAATTTTCCACTCATTGTGGGAACACCAGCTGCTAGAGGAGGAGACGACTGATGACTGAGAACTTCAGCTACACTTTGTGGTCTAGGACAAGAATAATGGATGATGTTTTAAATTAAAAAAAATATATATTATGTAGAAATGAAATATTATAGTCCGACTCCTTAATCCGAACATAATACTTAGGACATAGGCAAGTAATGCGATGGAGCCTTTCACAGTTCATTGGAGTAAGTTGTGAGAATCCACGTTGATTGGAGAGATTAACAAAACCTTCTTTATAAGTGTGGAAACTCCTCTTTAGTAGATGCATTTTGAAACGATGAAAGCGATACATAACAGCCTAAAGCAGACAATATTTACTAACAGTAAACTTGGACTATTACAAATGGTACTGGAGTCAATCACCGACCAATGTGCCAGCAAAGATACTGGCCACCAAGAGGTGGATTGTAAGATCCCACGTTGATTGGAAAGTAGAACAAATCATTCCTTATAGGGGTGTGAAAACCTCTCCCTAGTAGATGCGTTTCAAAATCGAGACTAACGGCGATACGTAACGGACTAAAGCAGACAATATCTACTAATGGCAAGCTCGAGCTGTTAAACAGGTAATGAATGGTTAGACGGTGGCAAAATACAAAGGGAAGGAAGAAGTAAGAGGGAGAGAACAATATGATATTTCCATGAGCTCTGGACACTAACAATAAGTTGCATATATATATACTAGTTTTTAAAATTTGAATCCGAACAATATGATATTTTCACGAGCGGGTATTCGAGAGGGCTACGTACCACCGTCCATACAATAAACATATTCCAAGTGTTTCACTTGGGTAGAGGAAGAGCAGCCCCCAAATTTAATGAACCTTGTTGAGAGCTGCACTAAGGATTTTTGAACAGCATCATATATTATTCAGAGCATAAACAAAAAGTGAAGCTGAAGGCTCAAGTGGCGTAACGAGAGGAAGGCACTGTTTCATTCTCATTTTACCCATCATATACATTTCTCATAAATAAAGTCTTGAGAAAAGAGCTAATTCAACAAAACTGACATAAAATAGAGAGAGGTAAAAAAAAACGGCAATGGAAAACTTTGCATTTACTATTTTTCTTTACTTGTGAAAGAACAAAACTCTCTTTCTTCCTTTCCTTCTCTCGCCAGCCTGCAAAAAAAGCACAGTACAACTTCAATCACATTCACAAGACCGTCCAGAAATGCAGAAGATAACGAAGCAGCTAAAGATTTAAGCGTGTCCGAAAATAGTGAACGCTCATACACCTTTTGCATTGTTAGTACATCACTTTAAAGTAATTACGACAAAAAGAACGGGACTAAACCACATTGGCGATAAACTGATATTCCATTCTTGATAACGACCAGATTTAGTAGACACTAATGATAAATTGGGTGTAAACTAGAAATTCAAGTGCAATGTGTCCGTGACCGTGATCGCATGCCCATCCCAAACCTTTTATCTTACTTTCTTTGTATGTCTTTCCCTCTAGAATAGTTATATACTTTTCTTGTAATTTTTTTGGTGTATGGTTCCTATCCATTTTTTGATGTTTACACTGGCCAAAGGCAATATATCCAGAATGGTCAATATAGTGTAGACACTTGGGAAAGACTGAAATGAGAGCATCATTCACAATTTTTCCAGAATGCTGTTGGTGAGGGAAAAATTAAGGGAATTGAAACACACGATTAATATTCGAGGAAGACGAAGTTCTACTTTTTGCCGAAGAATTGAAGTTATGGGTGAAGTCAAAACTATATGAGCAACGGTTTCAAGATCTTTCCACCGTCTGTGCAACTGTAGAGCATGTGTCAACCTCAATAATGATCAATCTCAAGGTGTAGAGACGAAATCATGCTTCCTCAACTAGAGGTAACACTAGATCTAGCTCTTCTAAGAGAGGTGGAGGAGACAAATTCAAGGTAAGGGTCATATCAACAGAATAATTACAATTACGGACATCTGTCCAAAGCATGTTGCTCATAGCTAAATGCCCATTCCAAACCTTTTACTTTTATTTCATTGTATGTTTTCCGTTCTAGCACAGTTATTTACTTGTAGTTTTGTTAGCGCAATACTTCTCACCACTATAAAAGGCAATTTGCCTCCTAATGTACTATAGGAGGATATGACTAGCTCTCAAATCTTCCTTTCTGAGTTATATGCTATCAAAGATGTTGTCTCTGCTTGTCAGCTTATAACATTTACTTTCTCAAAAATGCTTACCAAAACGTTTTACAAAACCTTTTCTAATCTTGTTTTCTAAAATTGTCTTTCCAGAACAAGGTTAGGAGCTATAAAATAGGCCATTTGTGCCACCAATGATCAACTTTGTATTGGTTGACTTAGTCAAGGACAAGAGTTAGTGTCATTCAATTGTTTCGTGAGTCCCGAACAAGTGCTAGTTGATTGGATAATATTCCTAAATCTAATTACAAAAGAAAAGAACTTCGTTTTTCTAAACCATTTTTCAATTACAGAGTAAGTCAATGAGATAGGCTATTTGTGCCACCAATGATCCAAGTTTGAGTTGGCTGACTTACTTAAGGACAAGAGTAAATACACACAATCGCTTTCTAAGTCTCGAAGAAGTGCTGATTGTGATTCAGGGCACATCATTAGATAAAATTCCTAAATCTAATTACGAAAGAGAAGACTATTCCTAATATCTTCATCTTTCTCACTTCTTTTAAAAGCCTCAAAGTAGTTCTCTCCTCTCACAGTTCCCCCAAGAACTTGGAAGACGTAAGTAGGGCCAAAAAATTCTCTTCAATCTATGCTATAACCAGTAGCTTCAAAATATAGCAACAAACACATTGATTTCCGGGATGAACAATCCTACCTTACATCAGTCGTCTATCACTATGAAAGTTGAATAAAAAACAACTCATCTTGTAAAGTTCAAGGTACAAATTAAATTTTCCTCCTATTTTTGGTTCAGTAACATTATACTAAATAGGGTGATTATTAGATTAACATATCCTCGGAAGAGAAAAAAGTAGAAGGACATGCTCATGAATGGGCTACGGGATAGGTAGATGACTCGTTTAAAAGAATGACAGTAGCCATACACGAAGGAGGGAAGATCCATGCGTGAAACATTGTAACCAACTAGAGAAACATGAAAGTATAGAACGGTTATAGAAAAAGTGAATTAAAGAGAACTCATATAAGGATCTTGGATTTTTCTGGAGAAACTTAAGAAAGAAATGTGTCAAAAGAAGGCTAAACAAGAGGCAAAAGATAATCTAGGCTCTCTAGAAACTAGACTAAAATGCGTGAATAGCCCTCTAACTAGACCTAGTTTCTCAGGCTTGATTGCACATGGGGGAAGTTGATTCAGGGCAGAGGAAATAAAGAGCTATTGATCTTCCTTTGGTCGGTGATCAAGCAAAAAATTCGATCATAAAATGAATGTTCGGCAATAATTTACATTTCTAAAACTAAACCTTTAATGCACTTTCACAGATATTAATACGTCCAAATATAATGGTTCAAGTGGGTACCTATAATAAATAAAAGATTTCACCAACAAAAAGAAAATAAAACAGAAGTTACATCCCGTTCTTTTTAAGCAAAGAATTGGATACAGAAAATGAGAAGACATACCCTTAGAATGAATAATCTCAAGGTTAGCACAATGGTATCTCTCAAACTGCAGTAAAAAGAAATAAATAAATAAATAAATAAATAAATCACTGAAGACAATGAAACTGAAAATATTACATTATAAAATGAATTGCATTCTATAATCAGAGTCGGAACTTGATCTATTGGAGTCAAGATAACTTCCCTAGTTGATAATACAGTAAGGTCAATTCGAAGTCTAAATTTTCTTCACTCAAAAAAAACTTTGGGTCACTAGTCCCAATTCAGCATGGTTCTGAACAGTGGTCGGTTCAAACTTTTGTAATATTGTCTTCATTTCATAATAATAAATCATGATATATGAACTAAAATGTTAGAAGCATTTCTTTTCAATCAAACGCATTTTTTAACTGATTTAGTAAAAAGTATTGAGAAGTTTTATCAATTCCGAGAAGTTTCCAAAAAAAAAAAAAAACACTCCAACTAGTGTTAATCACAGCAGGTTACTTATTGAAAGACGTACAAAATTTGCGTACATCTCTTTTTTTATTAGACTCGAGAAAAACCCATCTGATATTCACTAATCCTGATACAAGGCTCCAACAATTTCTGCTATGACCCGAATGTAAATATATATGAAGACATTCCTCCTTTTTCCAACAAAGAACACACCATGTAGGATTTGGTCTTCTGCATTCTATTTGTAGCATTCGGAGGTTCAAAAAAATGACTACAAGAAGATTATAACAAACCATTTTCTCAGAATCAACTTAGTGGAAAATGTCCCATATATTCTAATCTCCACACTCTTTTATAGGCTCATGCATCAAGAACTGTGGGTTACACTATGATGCTATTCAATAGAATAAATTCTCCTATCGCAAGCAGCAAGACTTTGCATCTAATATCATGAACATCTAATTATAAGTTCCAAAGATTTTGTATATTTATACTATGCATGTAAGTTTACATTTCTCATAAAAAAACGCTAATGATCATGAAAATAGCATAATGATGGCTCCCCTTCTAAAGAAATCCGGCAACTTAAAATTTGTTCTTAAATATTAATGCAAAATTCCTCCTATTTTCTTTCCACTTTTTCCTCCAGTGGGCAAAGGGTGGGGATCTAAAATCAAAGGAACAAAATAATTTGTGAGAAAATACATTCCGATTCCCTACTCACCAGGTAATATCAGCAGGATTGTGATCCACTCGCAACTGATGCTCAAAATTGTTACCAATTATTATAAACCCAGAAGGATTTCCAAATGGAATTGAAACCTACAAGGATGAAAATATACGTAAATATCAATATAGGAAAGAATAATCAATGTGAAGTATGTTATTTTGAGATCAGAAATCAAGGTGTTGACTAAAAGTGACTGTAAAGAAGAAAGAGGGATTAGATGACAACTCTATCACAAGGCAGTAAACCTACCCAAAAGAAAAGTAATAAAATCAAAATCTCTTGATCATAAAAGCTAAAAATAAATAAATTGAAGTACACGGCTGAAAACTTTCAGTCAAGAAATTATAATGAAGAACACGATTGTAACTTTCAGTTCCCGAGTGCAAATGAAAAAAGTTGGGGGAATTATGATCCACTAATCCTGCGTGACAACTGCTACACAGGCAGACTACTATTCCACCAATTCTTACTGTAATCTATTAGATGCATTTATCATTGACAGGGATGCAGAATTACTGCAGCATAACAGTTTCGACAAATGAATATGGCTTAGGTTTTCTTTATGGTCTATATGAAATAGATGAAACAAACTACAGATACCGTACAACTGTATTTGGAGAAAACTTTTCCGTGATGACATCACCACTAGCCCCACTAAATTTTATACTGTATCCTTCCCTCTTGATGGACAGTGTAGCCGCTTCCCATATATCAAGAAATCCAGTCTGTCATGGAGAAAAAACAAAGAACACAATCAGGACGGTTAAGATTCTTTATTAATTTGAGGCCATATGCATGCATGTGTGCACGCAGACATGCATTTACGAACACAAATAAAACAAGTACTGTAAATAACACCATGTTATCTATATTTTTATCATTTGAAGCATACCGACATGGATACTTTATATGATGCATGACCGCTGTAAAGAGTCTTCTCTATCTGGTTCAGCATTTCCGGATCTGTTGAGACGGAACGATAAGTAACAGTAATTGATATTACAAGGAAACTTATGAGCTATTACAACAATCGCCGAAGGTTCTCAACAATCTTTATTTTCATTAAAAAAATGACAAATTTAATAGTTGTAAGAAATTAAAAGACAATTTTAATGATGGAAAAGAAAACACCGAATTTATGATAACTTTTCACACATCAATGAAAAGTTCTGTTTCTATATATACATACAGAGAACCAATGATCAAAAAGATAAAAACCTCTTTGACTAGAACAAGCATGTGCTGGAAAAGAATTACAGTGCCATAAAAAAAATCCCAGAGGCAATCTTTTTTTTTTTTTTGTTTTTAAGGAGAAACAGAGGAGACAATCTAATTGATTTATGCTAGGAGTACTGGTGGAGATATGTCAGTCACGGCATATCTGCTCTTACTAGATAAGGAGGTAAGCATTGACTGTTTATAAAAAGAGTTGAGTTCTCATGATTTGGGGTCATCATCTGCTTTGTGTATTTTGTTCTTCACGTCGTCTTTTCTTTTCTTTTTCTTTTTTTTTTCTAGGGATCTTGTTAAGGTCTCTGATGCCAAGATGATAAAAAGCTTAACACCTCTAATTCTTATTACTTTTTACTATTTTATATGGAAAAAAAATGAGGGGTTTGAGGATTTTCTTGTATTGGTTTTCTTTCAGAAGTGATGGAGGGTAATGATTTTTCATTTCCTATAGAAATTTTTTTGTAAACTTTGTACGTTTGTGAACTGATTGTAACTTTTCACATCTTCTGAAAAGCCCATTCCCTTAAAAAAAACAAAAGAACAGAAAAAGAGAGAGAGAGAGACTAACACTGGGTAATTTCCGTTGATGTTTCAGAATATATTTTGATTCCCATTTCCACTCGCTAGTTCTGGTTCATATCACAGTCCTATACTAAGTATAATAAAACATATGGACGCCTATCCAAGATTAACCCAATACCTTGAAAACTATCTTAAAATCACTCGCTCCAATTTTTGAACACTACTAGTAAAATATACAAAATTTAGGTATAGAAAATCCGCATCGGTAGTTTTTTTTTTTTTTTTTTTTGGTGAAAAAAAAATTATAGCATTTATCCAGATCTAAAGTCTGTCACCAACAAACTTACCACAAGTAATCTTTTGGTGGTCATTGGCAAAAACCTTTACAAGCTCTCCCTGCAATGGCAAAGAATGCAAGTTATTTATACATCAACAGGTAAAATGTAGGCAGACTCCAACTCATGGCTCCCTGACCATGCACATCTCTCTCATCGGCTTGGGCTACGCAAATGAAATATGATTTACTTCCATTCAGTTGAACTTAATAGCACGTTTACAGGTGAAAGAAATTTTTGTTGCATAAAAAACAGTATTGTGTTATCAATAAATTTGTATGAATTTTCTAAACAATCGAAAAGATCACTAGCCCCTCACCCACAATTGCTGACTGATTCTGGATCCTACCACGATACAGAGAAATTGAGGTTCCTTCATACACATAAAATGAACTCAAGAACTAACATCCAAGTGTCTGCCCAAGGCCAGGAGTGGTAGAGGGAAGGACGTGTGGATTGGACAATGTATTTGGGTATTTTTTTTCTTTTTCCTTTTTTGGTAGAAATCAAGCTTTCATTCAGGAGAAATAAAAGAATACAAAAGGACAAACAAAAATATCCCCCATAAACGGAGCTAAAACAGAACCTAAAGATCTAACAAAATAAAAAAGGGTTCAATCAAAAGCAATAAGATCAAGGTAATAATACCAACAGCCTTTCAAAACGGACGTCCAAATAGAAGAATTAAACTTGGCAAGAGCTCATACCACTTCCACGACCTCTTACCCCTATAAAAGATCTTTCATTTCTCTCTAGCCAAATGCTCCATTAAACTTGGTGGTACTTCAGATTTTTTTTAGAAAGGGTGAACAAGACACTATAATTTCAACAAATTATATTTATTTTAAATCAGAATCAGATACAGCACCTTGCGCCTTCTGTTGTCCAAAGGCTGGACTTCAATAGCCAGATAGGTGTCAACATCATCCGCAGTAACACGATAGTTTGGTTGCTTCGCTCCTATTATTATTTAAAACACCATAAGATTTAGGAGGGAGGGGGCATTAGGAACAAAATGTAACACACACAGAAGCGATACCTTCAATGTAATTTACAGATCCATCTTCCAAGTGGCGTACCCACTGCAATTTGAAACAAGGACCAGTCGTTACGAAACAATAGTTAAGTAGCTCAGCCATAATTCTTGAGGTCTGCAGCCTCATATACTTCACGGGTTTTGACATTCCTAAATTGCAAAGTAACGGAAGTACATCCAGGAGAATATTGAAAAATCCCATGCATGGTAAGGAGACAGGGTGAGAACTTTGACTAGATTCGAATTTTGAAGTTAATATTTTTAAGACAGAGAGGACATCTTGAACTCTTTTCTTTTTTTCTTTTTTCTTCTTCATTTTTTTTTTTTTTTTTTTTGAGATTAGAGTTACTATGTTGATAAGAAATGTAAAAAGGGGGAATAGAGAAGATCATCTCAAACTCGCATCTCGTAAGACTAAGGATGTCACAAGTTTCTTGCTTGTAAAATTTCCCGTTTCTGAAAATGATAAAAGTTAAATATTTTATGAAAAGAAAAGAAAAGAAACACCAGAAAAGTTACAAAAATATAGTAACATAATACAAGAAACTCCCTTACGAGAATAAGCACTAATTCTCTCTGAAAATTCAGAAACTCTCCACCCAAAAAAGTTACAAAAATGCTTCCCAATTGAACGAATTCCGTTAAAATCATAACAGAACTTGAAGTTTCACACCATAAAGAACCATGAATCTTAAATAGATAAACTCTTCATACCATTCTAAACAATTCCTTTCAAAGATTCTTGGATATCTATAATTCCACATGCCCCACACTAAAGCTTGTTTGGCATTAACCCATAAACTCTTGCTATACATTTTAGTTTCACATCACAAAGAAGCTGGAAAATACTTCCCTCTGACTTTATTAAAATCCCAAGAACTGCTTGATCTGAATATCTCATCCCAAAATGTAGACAGGGAAAGGTTATGCATTTAAATATTTTTAGTTACTCACAGAAGTCACTTTTCGTTACAGTGTAGTCACCAGAATTCCAGTTATGAGCAAAAATTGATTACAAAAAGATAGAATATTGAGCTCATGAAAATGGACCTCAAAATTACAGCTAGTTGTTCCATTAATCGAGTATCCACATGCTTGGAGTTCTTGTCCCGGAAAAGCTTCGCCAGATATTTGAAGGGCCTCGATAGCAGGTAATGGATCATCATCTGCAGCCAAGAGTGAACCCCGTTCAATATGAACTATTACTGACATGCTAACAACAAAGACCGAATAAATATATTTGCCTTCAGAAAATGAAGGTGAAGGTTCCTCGAGGACTGGAGGCAAAGCTGGAGAATGAGAAGAGCTTGGCTCATCGAGAGTGGCGGGAGGAGGGGATTGCCCAGAACTCCAGTTGGTGATAGGTTCTCTCTCTGTTTGGTGGACCACATCCTGGTCATCAATCTCACTATTGCTTACAGGCTCACGAAATGTCACCTGTTTGTTTGTTCCTTCACTGTTTGAACCAAGTAAAGTATCAAAAGTAAGTTTGGGAGTAAGTGTGAAGAACATCACCAGGAACATAAGCAATGAAAAGCCATGTTATTAATAGCAACAAAGCATACAACAAATGTTGAAAGAGTAACTTGTATTATTTGTAGCAAAAGTAATTTGTATTATTCTCCTAGAAGTATATAGGCCTATTTATAATAAAGACAAGCTAACTAATCCTTCGGGGGTTAGGAAACATTATAAAATATGAAACAAATGAAAGCAAACAAATCCTCCAGGGAATAGAAGACAAAAAAAAAAAAAAAAAAAAAAAAAAAAAAAAAAAAAAAAAAAAAAAAAAAAAAAAAAAAAAAAAA